CACACACACACACACACACACACACACACACACACACACACAAGGCATGCTGTTTTTCACCTGCATGCCTTAGTCATGTGATCCCTGCTGCTCTGGCTGTTTATTCTCTTTTCTTCTCTCCAACATGTAGCCAACTGTTGCACATCTTTTAATGCTCCAGTCAGGTGTCACCTACTCCAGAAAGCCTTTGCTGAGCAATCCAGATTTGTCCTTCCTTTGTGTTCCCATTATGCTGTGTTCATATCATTTTCAGTGTCCTTACTGTACACTTGTATAACTCTCCTTTTGTGCTTCTGTTTTCTTCAGTAGACTGTGAGAGCTCAGCAGTTCTTCCACTGCAAAGGTCTTGCTTTACTCTTTGACTTTTCTGTGTTTTCTTGGACTTCCTCTTCCCAGCCTTTGGCATAGGCTACTATGGCAAAAAAAGAGTAGAAAGAGAGTATAGGATTTTGTCTTTTTGTATATGAATGTGTGGAAAGGAAGTGTGAGGACATAATGGAGATCATGAACATATTTAGAGGAAATGAGATCACAGGATGAAAACATTTTAGAGCTTATTTTTGGCAGTTTCATACCAGTAATCTTTAGGAGAGGCTAGACCCCAAAATATATAATGGCTCAAACACAACAGAACTTTCTCTGTGATGTAACAGTCCAAAATAGGTATTCTTGTTCAGCAGGCTAGTTCTGCTAATATAGTTATTGAGGGATGGAGGCTGACAGAACCCCCTAGATCACACTGGGTTATCACATCCCAGTCAGTCAGAAAAGGAAAAGAACATGGAGGAGCATAGATGGGAGACATCTATAGGCCAGGCCTGGAAGTGCCACACAGCATTTCCAACAGTCAGAAATTAATCATGTGGCCACACCTCACTGCAAGGGAGACTGGGTAATGTAGTCCAGCTGTGTGCACAAGGAGAAGAATGGTTGTGGTGGGAAACCAGTGACCTTCACAGTTTATAAACCAACAGTAAAGTTGGACAAGTTTACCTTGGGTGTTGGGTAAACAATGGAAGAGGTTTATTTCCTTTGTACTAGTAAGCTAAATGATGCAGCTCTGTTTAACCTGTCCCATGGGAAGCTGGGGTAGTCAAACGTAGGCAGTATTTAAAATCACACTTGACAGTTGAGCTCCGTGTTGAGTCATTTAGCAGGAAGTAGCAGCTGGAGAATGATTTGCAATGCAGATGATTCCTTAATTATTAATCCCTGACACTTTGTAGATTGTCTTTGAGTAAAATCCCAGCTGCGTTAGTATACAATATCGTAATGCCAGCCCCCCAATATTTTTTCCTCTTTTGCATGTCTAGACTAGAGAGATTGTTAAATAGATGGCAAAGTAGCAACCTGATTCATTACAAGCTAACCAAGAGGTGCTCAAAATCAAGAAAAACAAAAACAAAATATAAAAGGGAACTCATTTTCATTTCAAACCCTAGCCACAGTCATGGGCTTATTCCCTACCGGTTTGTGTTTGCCCAAACAGAGTGCACATTAATGATGACCTCATGTAGACTAAGGGAATGAGCAGATGTCAATCAATTTGAAATGAAATGTCTCCATAATTCTCTGCCAAAAGGCATATCAGTTCCCAGGAGAGCTTGTAAAACAGCTACCCAGGCTCTACTCCCTCCTCGGTGCCCACCCCGGAGTCTCATTTAGTCAGTCTGTGGAAGGACCTGGGTATTTAGATTTTTTTAATGTTCCCTGGATGATTCTGATGTAAAATCAGGTTTGAGGAAACACAACTCTGACAGGGTGGGAGGGAGAATAGGAAGGCATGCCGAAGCACGAACCAGACAGAGTGATTTTGTTTTAATACATTAAAAAATAATGAACACTAAGGAAAATCTAGTTTCATAGTTTGACATGTAGAGCTGTCTCTGGGGTTAGATGCATTCACAGGAACCTAGAAAACAGGACTCTTCTGGGGATTGGCCATACAATCCCTTGCCAGAGCTGACTATAAACCAGGAGAGGTATTATGACAGTAGACTTTCTCCTGGACATTCCAGATGCCTAACTTGTTTTCTTCTTTTCCCAGTTTGTTGCTCAGCCCAATTGCCAACAGTTGCTTGCCACCCTGTGGTATGATGGCTTCCCTGGATGGCGGCGGAAACACTGGGTAGTCAAGCTTCTAACCTGCATGACCATTGGGTTCCTGTTTCCCATGCTGTCTATAGCCTACCTGATCTCACCCAGGAGCAACCTTGGGCTGTTCATCAAGAAACCCTTTATCAAGTTTATCTGCCACACAGCATCCTATTTGACTTTCCTCTTCATGCTTCTCTTGGCTTCTCAACACATTGTCAGGACAGACCTTCATGTACAGGGGCCTCCCCCAACGGTCGTGGAATGGATGATATTGCCTTGGGTTCTAGGTAAGTCAAAGGGACCAGGAGCTATAGCCAGATTGCCTGCTTGTATCCTGTTTAAAGGAAACTACTAGAACAGGCAGTCAGACTAGCTCTGAACTAGCGTACCCCCATTCCACCCCTATACAGTGTGGTAGTCCTCTGTTGGGAGTCTCAGAAATGTAGTTCCTTCTGTCCCAGGCCCTGGTCACTCAATATTTCCTGGTCCATGGTGAGACTGGCAGTACACCTAGGGCCTTCTTTTGCTAACCTAATATCTTCAAGGACAGAGAAGCTGTCTGTCAGTCTAGAGACAAAGCTAAGTTTCAGTCAGGACAAGCCTCAAGTAAGGTAGGCAGAGCAAGCGCTGAGCAATCTATTCAAATCCCCTTTTCCTATAACCAAGGGGCACATGAATCTGCTAATTTCTCAAGGCTACTCCACTCGACCCAATTCTTGTTCAGGGGTCTACATCCTATTTGGACACGGATTTCACAAACAAGGGGGAAACCAGGGAAATTCACACACATCATGGTAAAAGCAGCCCTACCAGTAGTCTCCAAGCATAATTACATTGCACTGGACTCTCCAACACACAGCCATCTTCTAAGTCCTTGCTACTCAAACTGTGGTCCCCAAACCAGCAATATCAGTACCACCTGGGAGATTGTTTGACACACAGAACCTCAGGTGCCACCCTGGATCTGAATTTTAACATGATCCTCATGTTCTCTAAAGTCTGAGAAAGTGCTACCCTAGACGACAGCCACACCTTTTACCATTTTCTTTACTCCGATGCTGAAGAAACATCCATATCGGTAAAATTTTATGAAACTTCTACACGATGAGAGATAAAAGAAAAAAATGAGTTATAAATTATTTTGGGCTCCATTTCCTAGCTTTAGCCCCAACATCTGGTAATTTGATCCACGATCAGCTTGATCACCTCAAAATTCATTGAGAAGTTTTCTTTCCTGAACCTAGTGGAAACTAAGGACTGTGGGATAATACTAATCTAATTAATTTATTGATGAAAATACTCCCATTCCAAAATGGAAAGAAAGTAGAATCAGGCACCCAAAATTGCAATAGCATTCCAGTAACTATAGCAAAAATGCTAAGAGTAGTACCCAGAAAAGTACAACACATTGGCATCTTCAGGAAAAGCCTACCAGGTTTGGCAAGCTCAAAACTGGGAGGTGGGGTAAGAAAGCAAGTGATTATTGTCTCTCAAGACTTCACTCTACTGAGGCCCCAATTCCTTCCTTATTTTCAGCCTTATTCATTTGAAGGGGGGATCCTTCTATGATGACCAGGGCCGATCCTATGTAGAAATAAACTGTTTGCCTCCATTATTCAGGTTTCATTTGGGGTGAGATTAAGGAAATGTGGGATGGTGGATTTACTGAATACATTCATGACTGGTGGAACCTGATGGATTTTGCAATGAACTCCCTCTACCTGGCAACTATTTCCTTGAAGATTGTGGCCTATGTCAAGGTAAATTGGAATGTCTGCCATTTTTCCTTCACAGTAATTTTGTCTACATTAAGCTTTTGCACTGAGAACATAAAGAGTTTCAAGAAAAAGTGGTGATGATGGCTCAATCCATGTGGGAAATTACCATATAAACAGACATTCTTTCAATGGTTTGTAAGCAGTGTCCACCTAAGCAAAGAAAGTGGAAAATTGGACAATTTGCAAGTGAATCATTAGCTTCTGAAACTTTTAGGATAAAAGAGTCTTCAGCTTTCAGTGTTTAAAACCTCTCTATGATGTCCTTGCCAACATAATGACCCAATGATGCTTGCATGCAGCCAGGGCAGAAAATGTCTCCAGGAGGAAAGGCTGACAATTCAGTCTCCAAGATTGTATAGTCAGTCATGTTTTTTGGCACTAATTTCCACATTAAGGAGTTTTAGAATGGAAATATGGCTGTTCCCCAAATCTCCAACAACTTCGTTTATTTTTATATCCCTAATATGCATACTGCATAAATTTTAAGACCTTGGAAGTTATGTAGAGCATGCATATTGAATGCAGTCATGAAGCATTTTTGAAAGGAGCCCAAGAGTAGACCCTATACATGTGGTGATCGTTTAACACATACTTACAACTTCCTTAAGAGAAAATGCTGGTGAGGAAAATGTTTGAGTCCCTGGTTAATGTGCCTGGGTGAAATCCATGTCATTCTGGCACTCTGCTGACTAAGTATCATTGTTAAGGAAAGGAAAATTTCTTCCTTTGGAAATGGTATTTATACACTGGAGAGACCATAAATTATCAATCTAGAAATTGGTGGGTTTTGTTTAAACAGGAAAGCTTAGAATACATGCTGAAGAAAAGGATTAACATTTGGGATATGAAAAATGTATTCGTAGATTCTCAACATTCGTTAATCACATAACCTGTCCGACTTTCCTGGAGGGGCTTCCAAAAAGTTAGATAGTTCTCCATCACAAAGTATAAGGAAAAATCTGCTCTATTAAGCTGGGTAAGTGCCCCTCAACTGGCAAACACTTTACTCAAAGGAGACCTTTGCCAAGAAGTTGAAGTCCTTCCCAAAAAAGAATTTGCAAAGCAAGACAGGCTATATGCAAAATTTGGATTTGCAATGAGAACTTATAAATGGGGATAATCAGATCTACCCATCCAAAGAAGTCTAGGCTGGATGACCTTCCCCAAGCAGGCTGAGTCAACTTCCATGGGGCAAAGCCCTAAGAACTGCTCCACAGGGTCCTTGAAACGTTTTGAATCACCATTGTACTGAAGCCATACAGAAGCACCAAGGATTGAGCTCGTCTTAAAAAAGATCCTTCATTTCACTAGAGTGCAAAATTAGTCAACAATATCCATTCCACGCCACATGATCTATAATGAGAACCAAAAGGCACATGCCAAAGTACAAAAAAGGAACAAAGATATATAAGATTGGCCCTTAGTCTCCCCAGACGATTCCACAAATGGAGAATAACCATTCTTTTGTTTTCTAGGATAGTACCACCTAGATCTATTCTACCACTGCCTCACTTCTATGTGTACTAATTAAATCTGGACTATGCTACCCACTGAGTTGTGACCTTTTCTTCAGTCAGTGCTTAGCTAAAAGCATAATAACACTCCCCTCAAATTCTTATTACTATTGAGTCCCCACATTAGGTTGTCCCTCTTCATATTTTGCTTTGGGGTTTGTAAATGCAATTCACATCCTTTGAAAGGCAAGGAGGCCAATTTTCTAATTGCATTCCATTTCAAAAGATGTAAGAAAAATCACTTGCCTCCAAGTATTATTAACCCAAGAGTCAGGAGACCTGAATTTAATTCCCACTCTGATACTCATGAGCGGGATTACCACAGGCAATCCTTCTACCTTTCTGAGCTGTAGATTCTGCCTGTTATAAATAAGCAGTAGATTAAACTAGATCAGTGGTGCTCAACCTTTTATAATTTTCCCATGGTAGCACGTCTTTAAGCAGAAACTCACAAAGTAATCCAATATATTAAAAAGCCCAAAGGACTGAGTTTGACTTGAGGAATGAGTCTTCTAAGTGTCCACTTTGGCTCCCACAGTAGCTGCTAGATGCCTCTGCTGAACTCTCAGGCTCTAAGGAATGCAGTTTAAAAACCACTGTGTTAGATCAGGGGTCAGAAAACTATGGTCTGTGGGCTAAACCTGGCCTGCTGCCATGTCCATATGGTTGCATATTGTCTAGGGCTCCTTTAGGATTACAAGGGAAACATTGAGTAGTTGTGATAGGAACCATAGAGCCCACAAACCCAAAAATATGTAATAGCTGGCTCTTGACAGAAGAAGTTTGCCAATCTCTATGCTAGATGAGCTCCATGTTTATTTGTTACACACACATGCTATATCTTTCTCCAAAGGGGCAAAGTATAGATTTACCATGAGAATCATCTTTCACACTTCTGAGTGTTCCACAAATTCAGGTTCACCATCACATGGGCAGCAGACATCTCTGAGGTTACAGTTCTGGATGTGGAGACAGAAAACCTCAAATTGTGAGCTATCCATGTTCCAGTTGATGATTTCTAGTTTTAAAACATAGGTCTGTTTTGCTATCAGCAAAGAGACTATCTTTCACATATACCTCAAACCACTAAAAGCTGATCTATCATCTGTGCTGTGATATCAACTATCATATAAGTAACATTTAATAGAAATAGTGCTAGACTGAGTGCCTGGAGACCTATGGTTTACTTCTTGCTGGCTCTGCCACCAACTTGCTGTGTGATCTTTAGCAAGTCACTCTGCCTCTCTGGATTTCCTCCATTTGTAAAACAGGCATAACCATTCCTACCCCTCACAGTAATGCAGTGAATGTTTGTTAGTGGAGGAAAAATGTAGAAATATAAGATTTGGCCAAGAGTACATAAAACTGATTGGCCACCTAAAAGTCTATCTGAAACAGAAGCACAAATGTGGCATGAATTCTCCAGGTTCCTCTGACAGTGAAGAATATTGGATACACAAAAGTGATTTTAATCGCACCAGTTTCCTGAGTTGTTGGAACCGAAGCACATTTTAGAAATGCTGACAATATAATTTGGCCCCCAATGCAACATTTTCTGAGGAAAGTTGTTTACATTTAGTCCTGAGAAATTGTGATATTTAAATGTGAGTTCAAGGCAATATGCTTCAAATTAAATTCTAGGCAAAACCTACTTCTGTCCTGGGAAGGTAATAAGTAATTCCTTGTATTTCCATAACATCTCCCCTTATGGAGTACACAGACTTTTGCATATGAATACAGAATCACAAATATGTGCAGTGGGTAGGAGGCATTATCCTCATTTTATGGTGAAATTAAAAGACACAGGCAGTTTTAATTGACAATGCCTAAGTTGGAGCTCAAATCTCACAATGAAGTCATCTTTCTATAAGGTTACTCCTAATGTGCCAGGGGCTAGAAACCAGGGATAAGTAACCAACGCAATAAATACTGATTCTTCCCCTCCTTCAACTCCCTGGTTCTTTATATGTGCTAAAGAAACATTCTAACTTATAGGGTTGTCAAATGAACTGTAAAATACATCCATACACCACTGTGTGGGACAGTACTAAATTCATTCATTACCTGAAAGGTTGGCATGCCATTTGCAATAGTGTAGAATACATTACAGTCTGCTAAAAATTCAGCAGAAAGCTCCAGTGAATGGCTCCCTAAGGATCCTCCATCAGTCCCAAAGTGCAGTCAGCAAGGGAATGAGAATGAACACCGCATACCGAGAAGGCTGCATCTACCCCTTGTCTTTCAGTAACAGCAGGTTGTCCATGGTGATCAGAATCCAATGAGGCATTGAGGAAGCGAATTTGATTTGAAATCTTTAGGAAGCAGTAAGATTTTTCCCCACTACCTTGGGCATATTAGTGTCTCTGTTTCAGTGACACTCCCCAACAATCTGGTAAACCCACAGTTAGAAAATGTCTGTTGATAAACCACAAGTGGTTGCTCCAAATGATTGTTCTAAAATTCATTCTTCTATATGTATATATTTGGATGGGAATGGGAGGAAGAGACTCGTTAGCATCACATATTAATTGGATGGGGCAAGAAAGACAAATAGTATCGTGTATGGGGTCTGTTGCACAATAAATGCTTGATGCATAATTACGGTGGCTTTGTTCGGGTATGGAAGGGAGGATAAAAGGGAAAGGTTTATAAATGTTCACTGTACCTCTCATCTTGTGCACTTGTTGTTTCTTTCAGTATAATGGTTCTCGTCCAAGGGAGGAATGGGAAATGTGGCACCCAACTCTGATTGCAGAAGCACTCTTCGCGATATCCAACATTTTAAGTTCGTTGCGTCTCATATCCCTGTTCACAGCCAACTCCCACTTAGGACCTCTGCAGATCTCTTTGGGACGCATGCTGCTTGATATCCTCAAATTCCTCTTTATCTACTGCCTGGTACTACTGGCTTTTGCCAATGGACTGAACCAGCTCTATTTCTATTATGAGACTAGAGCTATCGATGAGCCTAACAACTGCAAGGGGATCCGATGTGAGAAACAGAACAATGCCTTCTCCACGTAAGACAATCCCCTTTCCTTTTTTGCCATTTTCTGCCTTTTCCATTTTTGCCCTGTTTTCAGCCTACAGCTTCATTACTGCCACTTGACTGTGAAGGCAGCACTCACTGTGGATCCACCCAAAGGATCAGAGTGGAGGAATGTTCTTCTCTCGCTACAGGGTACTAGGAGAGGAAGTGAAGTTAGGTGAGGGAGGAAAGAAACAAGCACACACATGGGCTTCCAGGAAGTCATCTAAAGAGTTGGTTCTGAACTATGTTGGTAGCATTACATACTTTTAAAAGAATTAATTGGGGTGAGGTAGATAATTCCTCACTCAAAAATGTGGCATCCAGCAAGGTAATGAAACAGCAAAGTTATTCCTCTGAACAAGTGGCTACCAAAGCTAACTTAACTATTGTGATTCAAGGAAGGATCCAAAAATATCTTAATGCACCCACATTCATAGGTGTAATCTAGAGAGGGGATAGGCCGGAGGTAGGATCCACTCACCTGCTACATTAATTTAAGGGCCAAGTGGCATCCAGCACTAATTGGAAATGTCTTCTATTTCCACTCGGGACGCAAGAGATAACTCATCTGTCCACGAGTCCATGTGCCTCCAAACACATGGAATTCCTGTGCCTTTGCGTAGTACTGTCAAGACCTACTTCTCGGGGGACCTTCAAGCCTTCAGAATGGCTTTTATTTTCTGATAATCGATGCTATGGGAAACAGACAAAAGAAAACAAATAAGTGCATGTCAGGCTATTAGGAGCTGTGCTGGGCTGACCCTGAACTCGGTGTCCTTCACCTTGTCCATCTCCACCCCTAATTTTGGAGAGTGCAACTCATCACTGGTATTCACAGCAATGACCCCAAGGACGTACAATATTCTTAGTCATTAAACTAATATAGAATTTTTTCCTTATGACTCCATAAACCAACACAGTTCAGTGGACTTGAACATTGTAGAATTGTGCTCCATAACAAAGGCCAGAGAAAAAAAGGACTCTGTTGAATGTGATAGAGAGAAAAAAAAACAATGCTATTTAGCCGATTCCTGTTATTTGTCTCTAACACCATTTCCTAAAATGGATTCACACAAACCACATTTCAGTAGCATGCTAATAGACAGAAGAATGGAATCTGTGTTTAAACCTCCTGTGCTAGATCATTTTCCTTGTCTCCCTTTCCAACACTCAGGGCTAAATCTTGGGTGGGGAAACCACATTTGCGTGCAAGGAGAAGGGGTCCAAAATGTGTTGGCAAAGAGATAGTGCTATTTTGGTTAAGCCAACCAGGAGTGTATAACAGCAGCTTATTAGCTTGCTAGTGCCTTTTAACTAGGAAAGGCTTCCTCTCCTGCATTACTCCAGAGACAGAACTCACAGCAACCTGTTTTCAACATAAAGAGCAATTGTATAGTGGCTTGAGCACCAGGACACTGCATTTGTTCCCATCAAAGTGTTGAACAGAATAAATACATGAATCAGAAGTGCCTTCCAGGAGGTCAGGTCCCTGCCAATTATGCTTTCGTGTGTACTCTGCTGAGGAAGTTTATGAAGTGCTTCCTTGCAAGTTTGTAATAATTAGTAACACCCCTGTTGCCAACTGACACTTTGCTCCCATCACTTGCTTAGCAGGGACAATTGGCAAGAATGGGCACCTATCATATGCAAAATTATATGTTGGGATGTCAGATATAAAGAAACATTGTCATGCTGGGGACAAATCAGAAGTAATGTTACCTCAACTTTCCATCTATCAGTCGGAATTTTTTTCTCCATAGAAGGCTGACTCATATTTATGTTTTCTTTTAAATGCCTCAACTCAGGCATTCATTCATTCATTCATTCACTGAAACGGAGTCTTGCTCTGTTACCCAGGCTGGAATACAATGACGTGATCCCAGCTCAATGCAACCTCTGTCTCCCAGGTTCAAGTGATTCTTATGATTCCGCCTCCCAAGTAGCTGAGATTACAGGTGCCCACCACCACATCCAGCTAATTTTTGTATGTTTAGTTGAGATGGGGTTTTGCCACGTTGCCCAGGCTGGTCTCAAACTCCTGACCTCAGGAGATCCACCCATCTCAGCCTCCCAAAGTGCTGGAATTACAGGTCTGAGCCACTGCACTCAGCCTCAGGCATTTATAAACCTGTTAAAATACACGCTGCTCAGCCAGGAAGTCTGAAAGATTCTGCTTTTAGAGACGGGTATAGTTTGTTTATATATCTGGTAGAAAGTTTGGTAGCTGATTATTGTCATCCTTTTCCTTCTGATTCTCCAGAGATGCCATTGCTTTTCTTCCACATAAAAAGAAAAAAAAAAAAAAAAAAACAGATGAGGTGCGATGGAGAAATCCCATCTCTACTAAAAATACAAAATTAGCCGGGCGTGGTGGTATATGCCTATAATCCCAGCTACTCGGGAGGCTGAGGCAGGAGAATCGCTTGAACATGGGAGGTGGAAGCTGTGGTGAGCCGGGATCGCACCATTGCACTCTAGCCTGGGCAACAAGAGCAAAACTCCGTCTCAAAAAAACAACAAAAAAAGATAGAAGGAAAGAAGGAAGAAAGGAAGGAGGGAAGAGAGAGAAAAATAAATAAATAAATAAGAAAGAAAGAAAGAGAGACAGACAATAATCTTTTCTCCTTAGGCATGCAATTTAAGGGAAACTCATTGTCCTTGTTGACAACCACATGACCGTACTGCTAGGGGTTTGTGTTTGGTATTGCATACTGGGACTACCTGGCCTTCATCTGCTGTAGAGAAATAATTAGAACGACATTATCATTCTGAAGGCACAGGATTTGTGAGAGAAGAAAAGAAGCTAACTTGATCTAGCCCTCATCTCCTGATGCTTCCTGAATACATCTGGCTGTTTCATATGCTTGTCAAACACAGGATGTCTACAACTAAATTCCTTATCCCTTATCTCCATATTTTCACCTCCAACCTATATCCCCTTTAATTCCTCATCTCATTAAATGGCACCAGAGTCCTAGGAGTCATCTGGGACTCTTACCCCTTCCCTCATGAAACACGTCATCAAGTATGTCACTCAGCTCTATCAGTTCTATTTTCAAAATCTCTCTCTCTCTCTCTGTCACACACACACACACACACACACACACACACACACACACACTCACCCCACTGTCTTGGTTCAGGCCTAAATCATTTCTCCCAAGGACTGTAGCAACAGCCTCTTAACTGGTCTCTCTGCCTCCAATCTGGTCTTCTCTCGAAACAACCTCTCCCACCTGCTATGCAGAAGTTTCTTTCTAAGTACCTGTCACATCCTGGCCCCTGCTGGCTTTATGCCTGCCAGAATATCTGAATCTTCTCCGTAAAATCCTGCCTCTTTACCATAACACACAGGACTTTGCTAATCTGAATCTTGCCTCTCCAGTCTTTTACTGCTCTCCTTCTTAGTCAACATTATGCTGTTCTCCAACTACAGGAAAGTGTGTCAGCTCTTCAGACCTTTGTACATCACATGCCATTCCCTCTCAATGGAATGCCCATCCTCACCTAGTCAGCCTGGCAAGCTCTTACTCATCTTTCCTGCTGCTGCCAAAGTGCTACCTGCTCTAAAGCCTTTCGTACACATTCTAACCCCACTCTCGGCTGCAGGCTTCTTCTGTGTTTCCCATAGCATTCTAAACATATCTCCATTACATTACATAAACTGTTGTATTTCAAAACATTTGTGTGTCTCTCTCCCAACAGACTGAGACTCCTAGCCTAGTTAGCTTTGCATCTGCCATAGAGGGGCCTAAGACATAAAGGTGCTCCACATGGCTACTGAACAATTCAGTGAAAAGATGAAGACGGAGTTCAAAAGCAATCTGATCTTTTCAAGCTTTTTATTTAGAGATAATTTTAGTTACGTTGTAAGTGTAAGAAATACTAGAGAGAGAAACCTGTAAATCCTTCACCCATTTTTCCCAGGTATAACATCTTGCATAGTTGTAGTACACTATCACAATCAGGAAATCAACACTGGTAAAATCCAATGGCCTTATTCCGATTTCACCAGTTTTACATGCAAGCCATTTGCAACAACATACATGGGCCTAAGAGTAATCTTGTCTTTAATTGTAGATATTCTACTTCTGCTTCTGTCCACCCTGCCCGCAAGGATGACTGAAGTATCTGGCCAACTCTGTCACTCTGCTGACCCACTTTGAGCTTGCTTTCAGCAAAAACCCTTGGCCTTTCTCCTACTTTTCTCATCCTGAACTTGGCCACTTGGCCCAAGAGCAAAGCTTTACATTGATCCCTATATATTTCATCTCATTAGTTCTAGCCCCTTGCTCCAAGCTGTTGAAGTCTGAGTCTTTATTCTGTCATCCAGTTTATTGGCTTTCCCTCTAGTCTTGTGTCATGTGAAGATCTAAGAAATATGCCATCGATTCTTATACAAAGCATTGAAAAAAACTATCAGGCAGGCTTGGTATTCACTGGGTGGAATATTGGGCAAGTATTAAAATTATACACATGAAGACTCTGTATGTACATTAAAAACTATCTAAACCCAAAATGTGTAACTTTTAAAAAAACACAGAGATTAGGCTGGGCACTGTGGCTTATGCCTGTAATCTCAACAATTTGGGAGGCTGAAGTGAGCAGATCACTTGAGGTCTGGAGTTTGAGACCAGCTTGTCCAACATGAGAAAACCCCATCTCTACTAAAAATACAAAAATCAGTGGTGATATGTACCCGTAATCCCAGCTACTTGGGAGGCTGGGGCAGGAGAATCACTTAAACCTGGGAGGTGGAGATTGCAGTGAGCAGAGATGGCGCCATTGCACTCCAGCCTGAGCAACAGTGCAAGACTCCATCTCAAAAAAGCAAAGATATATGTATATAGATAAATAGATGGATTGATTATAGATAGATAGATTAATATATAGGTAGGTAGGTAGGTAGGTAGGTAGGTAGGTAGGTAGGTAGATAGATAGATAGGTAGATAGATAGATGATAGACTGATCCCAGGCTGGGCATGGTGG